AGTCTGAAGAGATCCATCTAATCTATTGTGACCATAAGAGTCAGTCCTAGATGAAGAATTATCTTAAGCTTGCTTAAAATGGCAGATCAGTCATAGCAATAGGCTTCTCATGGCTAATCTAGACTATGTGTTACAATTATTCCCTTTATTACACCCATTTTGAAATCACTGGTGGTCCCTCTAATGGGACCACCACATGTATGATTTCAGCCCAAATTGCACTTCACTCAGTTCAATTACCATTATTAATTGGCTGTTGTTCTTATTGTCATTTGTAGCTTTCTTTCATTTTTATACAGTCATATATAAGAAGCTACAGGTATCTACCATGTGAAGTAAGATGTATTGATTTATACTTTTATTTTATACTTTAAACATGGTAACCATGAATATGTAGATAATGGAACTGGAAAGAGACAAACTTGCTACCAGTGATGAGAAAGCTGAAGTTGCAACAGAGGTAAGTGTAATTAGATTTTTTTGACAATAATATACATGTACATGTAAATATAGAATATTTTGAAAATTTTCAAAGGACTGTATTACTCTTAAGAGTCTTAAATAGGACTTGTAGAATTAATTTAGACTGTCTGAAAATATTTTTTGCAGCAGGAGAGACTTAAGTGTTGCATGCATATGGACTGTATGTTACATTAAAATGTTTGTGATGTTTTCAAAATAATTTTTTTATGTTGTGTCCTTGCATTTAATGAGCTTGGATTAGAAGAATTTCACTCTCTTCTATCCTGTCCATCCTTTTCTTACTAGGCATCAGTCCAGCCAAATTTAAAATTTTTGATAAAGAGGTTAATTTTCAAAAGAAACAGTGGTGCTACATTGGCATGGGGTGTTATACAATAACTTGGTTTGATAATGTAAATTGGCCACTCTATAGAGTAGTACTCTTTAATGTAGCCAATTTACATTTATTCATCAACTCTGTTTACTTGATAAAACCAAATTACCTTGAACATTTCAACATTGCTCTTCCAAAATTACAGTTTGAATTTTTTTCTTCTTTTAGCGAGACCATTTTAAGGACAAGTCAGAGAGGCTCAATACACAACTGAACTTTATCCTTGGTGCTGATGACAGACGACTGGTTGACATTGACTCAGTTCTCATGGAAAACAGGTCAGTTCAAGGTGATTTAGGGCCACACAATGTACAAGTACCTCTACCTGTATGTTTTTGCAATCAGTCTTCCCCTCACTTTTAAAATAGGGATTTTGTTAAGTCCTTTGTTTTTTCTTATAGTAATGATATTATGAATCATTGAACATTATATTTTTCCTCATGATGTACATGAACTTTCACAACTAATAGAAATACAATGTTTTGTGTCAAAATTTGGAAGGTATTTAAAGGAACAAATAAAGCAGCTGAAGGAAGAGAAAAACATGGCTGTGTCTGCTTTGAACAGATACAAGGTGAGAGTTGTGAATAGTTGGAATATTCATTGTTAGAAATTGTTAAACAAGGTTAAGATGCATGATATGTTTGTGTTAAAAATGACATTGTATAATTTATTTCTATTTACTCATACTTGTATAGTCTAGTTATTTAAATATTTTAGAAAGTGCAGTGTACATATATGCTTAAAATAATTCAAGTTCACCATATTTTTCCCTCTCTCAGAACACTTTTGAAAAGCGAAAGAACAAGATAATGCAGGCCCAGATCCAAGGGTCCTACACAAACACAGCCAAACATGGTAAAAAGAAAACAGCAGAAATTATATAATTATTATACTTTTGTGTGTTGATTAACGTTCAGCTTAACAATATGAACCTCAGCTATGCTGGCAATATTGTTGAGGGGAGAGGGGACATTAATCTCTGTATTCAGTCTTCAAATGTACACAAACAGTACATGACTGTGAAAAAGGATGTAGACTTTTGGATGTGTTTTTAAGATGTGTATGAGGACCTTTTGACATGGATTATACCTTCAAAATGACTATTGTCAGGTCAGTTCTGGGGTCAAGTGATGTACATATACATATTGGTAAATTCTTTGAGGAGTGAAATAAAGTTTGCATTGATGAATTGATCAAGAGTCATTCTTTTTTACGTAAATACAAGAGATTATAATCTCTCAACAAGTATTATTGGACTGACGATCTTTTTTTCTTTTTCGTAGCTGTGCCTTCACTCCTCTCTGATCTTGTGGGACATCTCAGCTCTAGTACATCAGTATCCACAGTAGCAGACTTGCAGTTTTTGGCCAACTCTTTATCTGAGACACTTTCTGAAAAGGACACTGCCTTGCAACACCTCAGAAGTGCTAACAAGTGAGATTATGGTAGTTAATCTTTAGTAGGCGAACCATCTCTAATTTTGATGGCGATCCAGAAGTTATTTCCAGAGAAATTGAACATAATGCAAATCATACTTCAAATTTGTAGCTTTTGAACACCCTCAGGCGAGAAACATTTTCAGAGGAGTTTGAACGAATGTCTAAGCTCTGTGCGATTTGCGTGGTTGAATGAATTGTTGCTAAAACATTCTGCTAACGTAACGTTTCCCTGGGTTTGCCAGGGTGTTAGAGTACTAGTTATGATGCTTATCCAACTGTATGCTAGGACTCTAACTATTATCCATATCATGTGTAGGATTTTAGGCCACAGAGTTGCAGAACTTGAAAAGAAACTCAAGACGCTGGAGGTGTCAGGACTGTGGTCGTTACAAGGTTTGTCTCAGAAAGTGAACCATGTAATTGAGTTGTGTTTGTGGGCAAGACATACAAGGTGCCTCTCATCACCAGGAATTATAAATGATTACCCGTGAGCTGTTGGGGAAACCTGACGAAATGGGCTTAATTACAATGAAAGAGCATCACATCCAGTAGGGGTGGTAGGTCTGTTCATCTTTTGATCATGTATAGCCATTATGACAACTACGCAAGTCACCTTGATATACAGACTTTGCTTTTACCTTCCTAGACACTGTTTTCTCTGAATTTTTTTACTTTTTTTATTTCGTTTGGTTCCTTTCCAATGGAGTTCGTCCCGTTGACTTATGAGAGATTTCTTTTCCCCAGGTCACCGAGGATATGGCTCAACAGAAGCAGATAAGCTCAGCTGTAATAGAATTCAGTCGCTAATCCCTGACGAAGAACGTCGTTCAAATGGTCACAACAATCAACATGATGACCTGGAGGACGCCGGGAAGGTGAGCGAGCCGGACTCCCCTTCATCCCCAAGATGGGATCCCCGGCCACGGAGTCCAATTCTGGATTTACGCCCTTTTCAAAGTGACGTCGAAGAGGGGATGCTAGTTAATGTGGCAGGGAGTCCTGGTGACGGGCTGGAAGGAATAGACTATTTAGAGTTTGTCGAGGAAGAAGACGATGATGGTGATGAGGAAGTAGAAGATTTTCAACCTGAGGAACTCTCTTGCGAGGAACTGCCAGAATCTGAACAGCATGAAGATAAAGGTTGTAGAGAAGATGAGCTGAGGGACAGTGAAAGTTCCAATAACATGCTTGGCGAGCCGCACTGCATTAATAATATGGAAATATCCCACGAAGGGGATGATTCCGTGAGATCGCTTTCCCTAGAATCGAACAATCACAGAAGTCAAAGACAGAACGAGGACAGCGATCCGGATCAGAAATCTGTATCAGATGCTGAGCTGGCTAACTTATTGAAAACACTCAGTTCTGATGAGGGGTAGTTACAGCCTCAGACATAGATGTTCAAATGACGTTACTTAGACTCTTAGCCACGTAAAGGTTACGTCAGTATGCGTACATAGCATCAATCGTATTTAAATGTTGCTGCTTATGATGAAATCATGCAGCAGGAAATTTTCTCCAAAGAGTTCCAATGAGACGAAAATTACCATATCTTTTATTTATGTTCAAACTAATATTTGGGACACCTTGGTGTTGTTAGCAAGGCTCCTTCTTCCTTTGTCGCGTCATACGTACATGATACCTCTTTTATCAGCTTAATATATTAAACTTACTTTCGGGAACATGCTTTCTGGTAACTTATTCACCTACAATGGTTCTTTTCAATTGCAACTGGATCAGCGCTGTAAGAAGTCTGCTCGGCAGCTGCCGAGTGGTATCGTTACGCAACGCTCTCAGTTCAATTGTTTTATCCCCCTCGTCGCATGGTTTCTCCTTTAAGTTCATTTCTGACGGGTAAGATGCGCGACTTCTCCTAGAGGCGATCTTTTTTTGTAATGAAAGGTTTCCCTCTAAAGCAAGGCAATAATCTCTCGTATAAGACGGCTGAAATATCATGCTATAACTCCGAAGTTTCTCTTCCGATCCACTTTCGTAGCTTCGTAACCGTTATTTGGTCTCGCCACGCAACAGACTCAGTCTCCTCTATAAGGGTGCTCGCAAATTTTCAAATTTTGTTGCGACATCCAAGGCTCGCATTTGATTGGCTATCTGTGAGTTTTTTGATTATCGACCAATCAGAATGTCTGATTTGTTTCTTTCTTTGCACTGAATTAACCCTCTTCTGCACTGAATTAACTCTCTTCTGCACTGAATTACCTGAAAACTGCATTTATCTTAACCAATCAGAACTAAGTAATTTTTCCATGTATATTATTAGCTGAGAAAAAGATGCGATTTAAGGCAAAAAATGGTACGATTCGTGAATAAATCACGCCACTGAGAGCAAATCAGATTACAAGGATCATCAGTGATTTCAAAATGGATATAGTGTGAATAAATCACAATTAATATTAAAAATAACTTTTTCACTTCTGAAGTCTGAAAGATAATTACGGCGAATGCTCCTGACTTGGAAACTTAGTAAACGTTGAACCTATTCCTTGTCTGTCCCGAGTAAGTATTTATTTGTTAAAAAGATCTGATGAACATGATGGAAATTCTCCCTACCTCGAAAGTCCGAAAAAACCTTACGTGTTTCCGCGCAGTATCTGCAATTTCCCGCGTTTTCGTGCGTTGATGTTTACGAAACGTGCGCGTTTCCTCGTTAGGGAGGAGGGCTGGGTAAAACTGGTTCACTCCAACATGGCGGAACATGGCGTGGTAGAAATTGTGAGAACTGCAGGGAAATGACAGCTTGCTTTGGTACAAGGTCCGGAACTGAAGGGCCCTTCAGCTTCTCAGAAACTTTCCATCGCTTAGTAATATTTAGATATAAGATGGAAGGAAGAGAGTTCGCATTACATAGAGATGAAGACCATGTTTCCTAAGTGCATGCCAAATGTCAACTTGTCAGCAAGAGGTTAGTAAAGAAATCTCTAAAATCTACAATTTTTTTTCATCAATTTAATCAGTCTATGATTAAATATAACTGAATTAGTTGGCTTAAAATGGGTGAATTAGTCCGCTATTTTGTGAAGGAGTATTGCTGCGTATTTGAATACTTAATCCAGGTAACCTCTGGACACGTGGTGTTGCTGTTGTTGTTATTGTTGTAGTTGTTGTTGTTGTTAAAGGAGCTTTTCAGGTACGAATGATGATGTAGTTGTAGTTTTTTTTCGTATGGGGCAGAGACTCACTAGGTAGATCCTTCAGTGGATCCTTTAGGTTTGGCGTCACACAATGTCCCCTCCCCCTGATGATCCCAATGAAAGGCTGTACTCTTTTCAATTGTTATACCTTCTATTGCCTTGGTACAGTCTCAAATCAGCACATCTTACAAATAAGTAAAACCTGCTTTTGTGTTTACTTCCATCTCATCTGAAAAAATGGTAGCTTCACAATTGATTGAACACAATTGCAATGACTTGTTTTGATGAGATCTTTCCATCAGCATGTAGGAAATTTGATTGAATGGCTGGTTGACTGAGACTGCATTAGTTAGAGGTTATAATTAAGTAATTTTAGATTTGAAAGGATTAAGACAGTTATTGTAAACAGCAGTAGATAATATAAGCTGCACTCAAAGATGAGCAGCACTCCAAGTTTGGCAACTCAAATTTTGGAAGCAAAGTTTTTGAAAGAAATTAAAAGAGATCACAAGTGCAGTCTTGAGAGAGTTGCTTTAAGTTGGTTGCTTTATCAAAGTTACACCCACATTAACTCAGTAACATTGAAAACAGAGAATACTTTGAATCCATATCTATAGCTTATATCTTTAGCTATAACAGTACAGACATCATATCTACTGATTAGAATTAAATTTGATCTTACTCTGGTATTGTTCAAAGGGTTATTTGTCATTTAAACAATGATAAGTCACTACTGATTGGTTCGTTAAAGTAGAAAAAAACTGCACTGTGTGCCTTTTTACTAAACAGTTTAGGGCTCTGCACACAATTCCGAATTTGATGAATTTACACTGGCTCCCTATGGAGCAGCAAATTATTATCAAAGTTTATTATCTACAAACAAGGGTTTGCATTATCCAGCACTTGCATGTATCAGTCATCTGTTGGTCCCTCTCATGCTCACAAGAAGTATCTTTAAGAATTCCAAAAGACCAACTTGAAGACCTAAGGTAACAGGGCTTTCTCAGTTGCTGCAACTAGACTATATGGAATAATTTACCTTTATATATTTTAACTAGTCCATCAGTCAGTGACTTTAAATCAATTTTACTGAGTTGTGTGTGTTTTTAAGACTAATCTATTTAGAACTATATGTGGAAAGACTTTTACATTGTCATCATTTATTTTGTAAAAAGGAAAACAGAACATGATTTTTTAATTTTATATATTAGAGTAAATTGTGAGAGAATGTGGCACTTTTTATTACTGAATACTCCATAAGGGTTGAGTTCTTGTAATAGAAACAAGTTTTCTTAGCACAAGGTTTTACTGTAGTTCACAGTAGGACATGGCAAAAATACAACAGCACATGGTGAAAATACAGATGGAAGGGTAGCAATGAAAAGGCTGCACTGAATAATCCAAACTTCAGTTTTATTATAGATTTCATGCTTGACTTTAAACCAACAAGTTTTTGAGCACTTCAGATTTTTTTGTTAGTCATGTGCAAACCTTTAAATGGATTTGCTCGCATTATTTTTGTCTTTCTCACACAGCATATGTGACTGATGCAATGCTCAGATAAGATGGTATAGTTAGTTTGGAATCTAGAAACCAAAAAAAGTGAGACCATAATGGATTGATGGTTATTTATTTGATGGTTTAACTTATAATGAAAACAGACATTTTGCTTATTTCTTTAAAAAAAAAAAAAAACCAGCATATTATATGTTAAATACTGGCACCATTTGGTGCTCACCATTACATGTATCTGAAAAAAGTATCTCGATTAGAAATCACTTTCATCTTTCTCTCCTCCCTTCCCCTCACAGTGTTATTTGATAACTGATTTAGAGGCTCATGGATTCAGATAATGTATTTACATTCGTTAAATATTAACTTTTACCACACATGTATGATAGGACTTTCACATGTGGAGCTAAAACCTCTACTTAGTGATATGGCTTGGTGTGTGCCTGTCCTTGCACATGGATAATAAAAGTCAAGATGTGGATTGGCATAGGGCCTGTCTTCTAGGGGCTCACATGAGTCATTTAGGTTCATCATAATGCACTACAATATGATGACTGACTGACTGACCATCTGACTGACTGATTGACTGGCTGGTGGACTGACAGAGAGACTGACTGGCTGGTTGGCTGTGAAACTGACTGAGAGACGTACTGACTGACTGGACTGACTAACTGACTGACTGACTGACCAGCCAAGTGGCTGGCTCCCTGACTAGTTTACTGACCAGCTTGCAGGCTGATTGGCATTGACTGACTGTTTGACTACCTTTTTGGCTTACTGACTGACTGGCTGACTGACTGATTGTTTGACTAACCTTCTGACTGACTGACTGGCTGGCTAGCCAGCTCACTACTCTACCAATTGACTAAATGACTCACTGACTGAATGACAGATTGACTGACTTACAAATTTTCTGTCTGACTGACTGACTTACTGGCTAACTGGCTAGCTAGCTCACTGGCCTACTGTTTGACTGAATGACTTGCTGACTGACTGCAGGCTGGCTGACTGACTGATTGGCTGGCAGACTGACTGATTGGCTGGCTGACTGACTGATTGGCTGGCTGACTGACTGATTGGCTGGCTGACTGACTGATTGGCTGGCTGACTGACTGATTGGCTGGCTGACTGACTGGCTGACTGATAGACTAACTGCCTGACCAGCTGGCTGGCTGGCTGATTGGCTAGTTGACCTAGAGAATGACTTATTATCATAACTAACTCACTGATTATCCCATAATATTTAACTTTGTAGTGTGTTCTCACTATTTAGTAGTAGTAGCAACAATGTTTTACCATTGAAGACTTACAGCCTATGTTATTTAAACAAAATTTAGTTGTTGCAGACAATATGTCTTTATTCATGCTTTTCTACATGACGTTTGATTTCATTGCTTACACGAAGTTTAAAGAGGGGCAACTTGGTGGGGAAAATGGGCTTTTCTTTTTCACAACGGGGGTTTTCAAATGCAAAATTTACGTAACAAGCGAGTTCATGTATGAAAAATTGCAAAGAAACGATGGATGTTCTCGACGACTCCTCACGCAACGGATACCTTCCAACGTCGCACGTAGTTTCGCCAAGGGTTTGAAGTTCTCTGTAAGAGGCAGGTTGTTTTCCCAGCCCCAGTTGTTCGAAGGTCGGATAACACTATCCACTGGATAAATCTCTATCCGGTGGATAACGCCACACGTTTTGCTATCTCTTATCCGCTGGATAGCGATTTATCCATTGTATAGCATCACCCGCCCCTTATACAACTGGGCCCTGGACTCTAGTCCAAGTCGTTGATGGTTTATTCAGGGGGTGGGGGAAGGGAGAGGGGGTGCCGAGAAAGAAGGCAGGTTAAGCTGCCTTTCGAGGAAGTTAAGTCTTTTAAAGACAATATCGTTTGCCAAATTGACGCATAGATTTTGTTGACTTGAATTCTGGCCATACGAATCGTACAGTTACAGTTTTTGTGTTCCTATTCGCTCTTTAGAGCAGAACGTGTCCTAAAGGACTTTAGCTTTGTGGTAAAAAAAGTGTTGCAACTAATAACATTTAAGGCTTTCCATTACTTGCTTTCTATTTGAAATTTATCTGGGTGACGTAATGCCTGAATAATGGTGCAGTGTTTGTGATATATGTATACCGCTTTTTTGGATTAGAATAATCAGCCAGAATTTGTAGTTAGAATCGAATTCTCCCCTCCTTAGAGGGGTGGCGGGGAAATTGCCCAGGGTAGTGACATGGAGTTTACTTTGGCTATCCTTTATTTTCTAGTGTAAGTTACGCTTTAGATGTATAGTATTTAATAATTTACATACGTTCACACCCGGAAATAAGTTTTGCTCAAACTGTCTTTTTCAGGTAGACAGTGGATTCTCTGAAGGTTGCAGTTCTGTGGGAATGGTCAGTGATGTCTACGGGGATTGAAATTTTAAATCGGATATGACGATGTACTAATTACAGGTTAGAAAGTTTTACATCTTACTGAGTCCATGGTTATATTTTACAGAAACCAATTTAGACGTTCAGTTTGCAATGAGATGCTGTCCACTTACTTTTGATCGTTAATCATTCTCACTTCTTGAAACTGCTTGGATAAGTAGTCTTTTAATCAGATCTCAGAAGTAAGAAAATTACATTAGGACTTAACAGCTTAAAAAGTTGAACCTATCGTTAAGGGCAAACTAAAATTGAACTGCTTCAAGGTCCAAAATAACTACAAGGTTTGGCTTCTTGGAATATTAGCATCCGCTTCTGTCAAACCCAAATTACAGAGGACCAGCTTATTTCTGTTATTGTAGTTACTTCCTCAACATGTAATTTAAGCAATTAAAAAGTCAACCACTGTCCGTTTTAGTGTTAAAAATTTGAATAAAATGAAATCGAATCAGTCAAATTTACGTCATACAACTCCGCAGGTGGGTTCTCCAAAATTGTTCGTGTTATCAATAACTACGGAAAAATTTGCCTTACAGCATTTAGAACTACAGAGCCATTTCAGAGAGCCACGTGCAAATATGCAAATTTTTATGCCAAAAGCAGAATTCACGCTTCACGAGGGATTTGACAGCTCTTCGCGTACAGTTTCTTCCTTCTCTGTTTTCTTTTCATCGCCGTTTACTTTATTTCGTAAAAGAGATGCGTTTTTCACTCTGATCAACAGAATATTACATTCTCTTGTTCTGATAGACTTGTACTTGGTAGTTTTTCAGACTCAAAGACTTAAACAGCACACTGAACCTGGTTTCGTTTAAATTATGTTTTGTTTATTTTCTGCCCCTTCACATAAAAGTACAGTTTAAATTTACAATCTTAAATTTCTGTAGATTGCCGAAGAAAGCAAATAATAAAGTTCGGGCCTAAGAAATCATCAATTTGGAAAGGCAGGAGAAATTTGCTGTTTGTCAGAAGAAGAAAAGCTTCTACAATAATTACATCAAGAAAAAGCTCATCCTACACTATGAAGTAATGTTTGCTCGATAGTGAAGCCATTTTGAAGACTGGCGTCTCGTGTTCGTCAGGTGATTAAATATATTTTAATGCAGTTTACTTCAGATTGCCAGATAAGAAAAAAAGACTGGAGAAATTATTTTCAATCTCTCTTGGAAAACGTGAACTTTCACTCTGATAGCCGCGACAACGTTTTTATGTTTGGTCTTGATTTCATTTCCTTGTTTTGCAGGTTTGTTCGACCTCCCAAAGCTGGATACCAAGGAACACGATCACCTTAAGTATAAGATCAGAGACAAATATCAATCTTGGAAAGAAAGCAAAATTGGATCGACACCTAATTCAGAGAATAAAATGAAAAATTGGGGTTCTATCCGTCCGCCATCCCCCACCACACCCGTCTCTGCCTCTATTAGACGGTACTTCTAAATTATCAACTTTGGAAGGAAACCAAAAACGGTTTCCTGCTCATCATCTACCACCGCACCCGCCACTTTTAGACAGTTTTCTTAATTCTCATCTACCTTGTGATTCACACATCTTTTGATACAGTACAATGTTACAGTACATTACGATACAATCATAATAATCTTATAATACAGTAAAATATTACAACAATTTTATACAGTTGTTTTTCTCCATCCGACCTCCCCCGCCGCACCCACCTCCTGCGTACAGTTTACTTAATTCTTAATAAAAGTTGTCTACCTTGTGGTAGTACCAGTTATTTTCGAATGCCCGCGTTTTGTGTCACCAAATGTCTGTCTTAGCGCACATGCGTATTACATGATGTCATTATCACAAGGAGGATGGCTTTGCAGATATTAAAAAAACTTCCTTTGACTTTCGGTTGTTGTGGGGAACGGAGGTGGATCCACCCCCAATTTTTACTTCCTTTTTGAGATTGACAATTATTTGTACGGTGTATTGAAGTGTTCATTCGTCATGAAATCTACGAAAGAAAGAATGAAGAACAGTAAATGAGCCACAGCGTAACAAAATGTTGCATAAGATGTTCTTATTATGTACAAACACAACATTGTACAATTGGACACTCGTTTAGTTCAACTGTACCACATCGCACAATGACCGAAAAAAAACAATGAATATGTTCGCAATGAATAATAAAGTAAACTCACTTCAATAACAAGTGTTCTGTTCAACCGTACTTAAGCTCAATAAGTGTCGTGAAGTGTCTGACCTTCCTAAACTTGTAACCTTCGCGGTACTTGTAAAAGGAAAAGAAAGCGCACCGCGTGGTGACTGACTTTTTTTTTTTTTTTTTTTTTGAGGTGCACAACGGTTTAACATATATTACACATGTACATTGGTAAATCTCTAGAAAACAACATTTGTACTTTTTCAAAATCAAAAGACGAAAATGTGAGTAAGAATATTACGTGTGGCTTATAACACACAAGAAAAACGAAGGAGTCAATGAGGTATTTCCTTGGACAAGTTGGAAAATTCAGAACAGGATTGAAAACCTGTTCGCACCAAAAGTCTTCCGTAATACAAATGCGTATTAAAAGATGTTGGTGCCACAAGGTGCATAACTCCTACAAATAATTATAAAAAGTCGCTAACTCCCAATCTGCAGTTGTGCTTACCTTACTATGGATAATACACCTTTTGCTGATCATTTTGAATAAACGCTTGTAAGAAGGTGCAATTGATTGCGCGTCTCTATGCAAATTGTATTATTGTATGTTTCTAATACGCAATTGTTGATCCGTTAATGCTATTTAATGTTGATACACACGCAAATAGCGTTACTGAAAGTTCATTCGCGTTAATGAAGTTCATGGAAGTTCAAATGAATGTATATTTGCCGTATAGTTTCAACTGTTGACGTAACTGAATGTGCATTTTGCGTAAATGAACAACAAAAGGTGTATTTGACTTTGATATCCTTACTGTGGTGGTCATTTTACGTGAAATCTGTGTAGAAAAAAGGACAAAAATCCCTAAACAGCACTCGTCATGGAACACACAACCATACTTACTGACAAACCCTTCCATAGGATAAAAATATCAGTCTTGAAAAAAAGCATGTATTTCGACGGACGTTTGGTTACACAAAACGTATGCGTTTGAAACGAATGTTACTATCACAAGGTAGAAAACTTAAATAAAGACTGAAAAAAACTAGTTTAAAGAAGTGGGTGTGAACAGGGATGGCCGACGACAAGAGATCCGCCTAAAGTCTTGCTTTCCTTCCAAAGTTGATATTTGTCCGTGACCATTTCACAAGTTTTCGTTTAAGTGTACAACATAGCTAGACTCAGCAGAATAAAGAGTATTCTTCGTCTCCCTTAACTTTCTTTTTTACACTACGGTGGCTGAAAGAGGACAGGCACGCGGTTATTTTTCTCTTTTATAATAAAGTTCAGATATAATCCGCGCTGTCATTGGTTAAAATAGCGTGATCTATCAGAGGACAACACTGCTCCTGCGTGCTTTACAACAGAACAGAGCACAATCAAGGCTTCTCTATTTGTTAAACAAATCGGCAGTTATAATGATTTGCTGTTCACAGGCAATTTCTGGTCCATTGTAAGAGAATGACAAAAGCTTCCGTTCAGCTATGCCACAACAATTAAATTCACCACAATCTAAAATTAACATTTTATATTAAAGTTATCTTTCCGGCATCTAACAGACTAAAAAACGAAATGATAGCAAAATAACACCTCTAGTTCTGGTTGAATATTTTTTTACACCCAAGCGACACAAAAGAAGCTAATTGCAGGACTACCGCTAGAAGTTAAACACTCATTCATCTTTAACTAATCAATTAAACCGAAAAAAATATTGTGGCCTCACTTGAGGTGTCTAGGAGAAAATGTGAAGGAGGAAGAAATGAATGAATCGATGCAATGATTCAATCGAAAACTTCGAAAAATTTTCCCTGAAGGGGTCCGGCTTTTAACAAGCGTTCTTTGAACTGTAATTTTACCTATCACTCGTCTCGCCTTAAGTTTTGTTTGAACAGATGCAACCATAGACGGAATTATTTGAAGAAAAAAAAATAGAACCCAAGGGGAAGTCCTTAGTAGTAATTTGTTAGAGGATCGGAAACGAGTTTTATGTCCGAAGGATGAGGTAGTCTATCATTCCAACAAAAATGACGACAAACTCTTTTCTTAGCTCTCACCGACTGTGAAAAAATGAAAGCATAATTAAGGCAAAACTGATCTATCTGCCTATATTCAGGCAGGATACTACCGTGAACCATAGTTGTCACAGCCACAGGTTTTAGAAATTTCCTGAGTTTCCCTGACTTTTTCTATCAACTACACCAAACAAATTACACAAGAAACATCCCAAAAAAATAGATGTTAGCATTTTCATCTTGAAAGGGCAACGAAAAGAGCGATGAGTTCTTGAAAGGTAGATTTCACTCTTACGTGAGTACTTCAAACGACGTTTTAACTTGCTTGACGCAAACTGAAGATTCCCTGACTTTTCTCTAATTTGATATTTTTCCCGAGAACTTCCCCTGACCTGTCGCAGAGAATCAAGTGGATTGCTTTGTAGGTTTAAAAAATAAAGGATCTGCTCAAGAAAACGTAACTGCTTAAAAATTTAATTATTGAGTTTTAGAAGAAATAAAATGAGATGTCGATCCTGTGTAGGGTATCTTGAAGACAGTAAGAAGGTCAAACGTGCGGAGAACCTGCAATTTACGCATCCTATGTGTTTTCTAGCGCGGATTTTTAAGTGATACTTAACCTTCTAACTATTGTGAGGACTGCGACTGAATCAAATCCTCGTCGAGAAATAGGTCGTACACTAAGGAAGCTTATCATATCTCTCGGTTAACACGTGCGGTAATTGGTCAGTTTAGCGGCCGTAGTTCGCTGTACGGTTCGCTAAATTAAAAAGTTTGTTAGAATTGAAATTTCCCCCTCTAATTGAACCAAGAGATATGCTAAATATCTTACCAGCCACGTTTCCTCGTTATATCGCTTAGCTTGAGAACCTCATTTTATCTGCTCGGATTTATGATGCGCGGGAAATAAATCTGAGCGGGTAAAAATTAAAGTAGGTCTGTAACTTACGGTAATGAACTCGAACTCGGTTAGTAAGAGGTATTTATATTGTTAATGAAGAGTTAACTCCGCTAAAATCAATGCTTGCAGCAAATGATTATACAAGGTTGTAGTCTATTAATTGTGCTACAAGATTTTTTTTTCCTAAGAAAACTCCTTTTTTTTTTTAAAAAAAGTCTTTTTCACCTCGTATTTATTGATTTTGTTGAAGAGCTACGTGTGAGCCGTAAACTGAACTCGTAACGCTAGGACAGTACTTTAAGAAAATACGATTGTTTTAACATTCCACCCTGACAAGAAAATCAATTCTGTGATGCTTCAATGATGCATCAATGATGCAATCAATGATGCTTCTATATTATGTGCTTCTGCCTCAATTGATTAGGTGCAGCTTCTTAATGATAACAAACCACTTGCCCTGGACACCACATGGAGGCGACACAATCCACTGATTATGAAGTCTAATCGATACATCGAATTTCCCATTCGTCCTTGTAATCCTGTATTAAAATAAAAAAATACAAAAACAATCTAGTTTTTTTCTATTGATTTTTTAAGTTTTAATGTATGAAATATTATCTAAAATGAGTTGCCTTTTAATCTTTTCTTAGATTTTTTTGAGCGATACTGACTCCTTAGTGGGTCAATCCTTAAGCACCCATCTCTTGTACAAAGTTAAACACCCGATCAGCACATTAAGACAGTCCAGTGTCCGAAACAGTTTTATACTCTTTTTTGGGGACCAAGCCTTTGCATCACAGATCCAGAATAAGGAAGAAATTTTCTGGGTGACACCAAGCCATTAAAGAGCCAGCTTTAAGTCTCCCGTCTCTTGTACAAAGTCAAACACCCGATCAGCACATTAAGACAGTCCAGTGTCCGAAACAGTTATATTCTTTTTCTTTTGGGGACCAAGTCTTTGCATCACAGATCCAGACTAAGGAAGAGATTGCTTGGGTGACACCAACCCCTTAAAGGGCCAGCTTCAAGTCTCCCGTCTCTTGTACAAAGTCAAACACTCGATCAGCACATTAAGACAGTCCAGTGTCCGAAACAGTTATATTCTTTTTCTTTTAGGGACCAAATCTTTGCATCACAGATCAAGACTAAGTTAGAGGTTGTTTGGGTGACACCAACCCCTTAAAGGGCCAGCTTTAAGTCTCCCATCTCTTGTTCAAAGTCAAACACCCGATCAGCGTATAAAGACAGTCCAGGGTCCGAAAGAGTTTTATTCTTTTTCTTTTGGGGACCAAGTCTTTGCATCACTGATCAAGACTAAGGAAGAGATTGCTTGGGTGACACCAACCCCTTAAAGGGCCAGCTTTAAGTCTCCCGTCTCTTGTACAAAGTCAAACACCCGATCAGCACATTAAGACAGTCCAGTGTCCGAAACAGTTATATTCTTTTTCTTTTAGGGACCAAGTCTTTGCATCACAGATCCAGACTGAGGAAGAGATTGCTTGGGTGACACCAACCCCTTAAAGGGTTAGCTTCAAGTCTCCCATCTCTTGTACAAAGTCAAACACCCGATCAGCACATTAAGACAGTCCAGTGTCCGAAACAGTTATATTCGTTTTCTTTTGGGGACCAAGTCTTTGCATCACAGATCAAGACTAAGGAAAAGATTGTTTGGGTGACACCAACCCCTTAAAGGGCCAGCTTCAAGTCTCCCGTCTCTTGTACAAAGACAAACACCCGATCAGCGCATAAAGACAGTCCAGGGTCCGAAAGAGTTTTATTCTTTTTCTTTTGGGGACCAAGTCTTTGCATCACAGATCCAGACTAAGGGAAGAGGTTGTTTTGGTGACAATGCCCCATAGCGGGTCAGCGTTAAGTTTCCCATCTCTTGCACTAAGAAACTCCAGTGTCCCAAACAGGTTTCCATTCCTTTCTTGTCTAGGACCAGGTAATTGTGTATATTTTGAAGTTTCTTACTTGGACTAAACAACATTTGTATTTTATTTTACATAGGTCAATACTTATCTCATGAAATCAGCCGCACTACCAAATGCCGCGGGAGAATATCTTTTTACCCTGGAAAGGAAACAAAGAAATCATCAATAACTCTTAATAATTTAATAATAATTTTAATACCTATATGGCGCAATATACATATGGATATGATCTAATACTTTAAACAACTGAGATAAAATGAGTAAACCTAACATTTAAAAATTGAACATAAATTTGTATCTACAGATTTCGCCATCATCGAAATTACTATCTCAAAACAATCTAATCTAATACTTGCCATTTTAAAACCAATATAAATACTTTAAAAAGCAAAATATCGATTATAAAATTATTAATGATATAAAATATAACAAAATGCCGAAATCCTGGATCGATTTATGCCATATTTCAATAATCTTTAGAAACTACATCTAAACAATCTTTAATGAAACATTTTGAAATACTTCGCTACTTATATGCTTCGCTAAATAATTCCAAAAAACAGTATCGATTACCTTTTATAATATGCGCAAATACACTGTATGTTAAGATTTTGTTTCAGCAAGGACAGGGAGGGGTAGTTAAGACTGTTTCTAAATAAATATTCTATGCACATAAGCGCAAGAATAAGCGCAAGAGAAAAAACTTTTAATCTTCCGATGCACTAAGCATCTGAAATAAACTACAAACTGAGTAAAACTTTGCATATTAATAATACCAAGATCTTGTTTACCTGCGTCAGCCAACAAGTGCATTTCACACCGAGGGAATCATCAATAGACGTGAAACTAAAGTCCACAGTTGGTACATTACTTCCTGAAAAAAAGGAAAGGCAAAATGGAGATGGGAGACTTAAAGCTGATCTGTGATGTGTAATTTGGATTAAGGTGGCTGTTAAAAACTTGCAATTTCTGTGCTTTAGTGAAATGGTACAACCAGCGGAACAAATCTTGATCAACAATTGGCTGGAAAGCATTATGTAATTGCTGTGATGCGAATGGTTTTTATCTTTCCCATATCAAATTGATTCGTAAGAATTTAGAAACAGAAATCGTTAAATTAATTGAGAGTAACCGAGCTAACTTTAACGATTGGCATTTTACCTCAGATCTACTTTAGTATTAGATAAGCTAACCGTTTCTATGGTAATTTGATACCAGGTGTTTACTTCCAATATATAGAGCGCGAAAGAATTCTTTAATAAAAGCAACAGCGTAGAGAACCACTTCAAGTCGTTTTAATCGGACAGTGGTTGAAGAAATCGTAGATTGAAAGAATCATCTTTAATTTCTATTTGAATTTTCCTTCATTTTAAGTTTTTTGTCTAATTTTTTGGATTTTCAAATTTAAAAAACCAACCTTATCGGATGATATTCTTTGTTCCTTCCTCGACCCTCTCACTTCTTGTTTGCCAGGCTTTCTTGCTTTTTGCTTGATGCTGTTTTTGAAAAAGAAAATATTTCTTTAATGGGAATGATGTCAGGATAAAGAGAAACTAATAAGACTTCAGGTCAGGATGGAAAGACCAGGCACGTTTTGCTGATACAGACAATTATTCAAGGTGCTTAATAAAATTAATTCATATTTAATTCTTAAAAGACTTCATAAAAACCAGGGATCACTTATCTAACTTTGCCAATTTACAGTTAACCTTAAAATTACAAAGGCATTTGACAAGCTTAGCCAACACTTTGGTAGGGTAATATAGTATTATCAATTGAGTTGATAACGTAAATTGGCCACCGAAAATAGTTTCAAAGCTGACGTTTGGAGCGTTAGCCGTTCTGTTTCCCTCTGACTAAGGGCTAACGCTCGTAACGTCAGCTTTGAAACTCTTTACGGTGGCTAATTTACGTTATCAACTCAGTAGATAATACTTTATTGCCCCGTTATACTCTCCCACTGACGCAACACTACTGTTTCTTTAGAAACGTACCCCTTTTATTCTACGATTCCTACACGTAATGACTGAGTATTTCTTTGAAACTCTTTCTTTTACCACCAACAGATGCAAGGCAGTAAAATTGATTCATAAAAGCAACAGTGTTTGAACCCCTGGGAGTCACCTCTGTCACACAGAGATCGATAAGATTAGAAACTGAGATTACCCTCTCGTTCTTTAGTGGGGTTGCACAGAGGGGAAATAACAAGTTGCTTAAGTCAAACTTAATGCTGAAACAACTATACATAGTATGAAAAATCAATACAGAAAAGCGAATAAACGATAAGCTTTAAGTACTATAACAGTAAAGAGGTTAACAATATTCTCGGCGTTTCCATTCGAGACACGACCAAGAAACTGTCATGGCGGCTGCCACTAAAGATTTTCTTAGACTGCTATGCGATCTTGCTCTCTCTTCTAATATTAGGCTGTATAAATTGATTTTGTTATAGCAACACTGCATTTCTATCCCAAATATATTAAACGTAGGTTAATTACCTGAAGAAAAATCGTGACAATAGTAAAGACATGAATCCTCGACTACCAAACCGTTAACCACTCGACCCAGCAGAAAAAAACACCCCTTGAACTTGAGAGGACTGACGATATCCAAGGTATTAAGGTCAAATAATGTGTTTCTTGCATCTGTAGAAGCTGGAAAAGGCGCTGAAATTTCTTGTAGTTCGTGAAATCTTTCCACGTGCAAGACCGAGTGCAAATATCAATATTAATTTTGAAAATTATTTGTAATTCAAATGAGTTTTCTCACTTTAAGAGGCAGATACAAAATAATAAACGCCGAGCTCTCCAGTCAAGCTGAAGGCTTATTAACTAAATGCAACTATTCTTGTAGTTTTAGAAATGTTAACTCGAACCTGGACGATTTTGAAATTAAAGACATTTTTCTGGAAGATAAGTTTTCATTCATTTACTATGGGCATAATGGATCTCTCCGGTGTCTGGACCTTTCTTTTCTTTCGTTTCCATTGTTATTCGCATTAATTCCTGTCGCCAGGTTTTTTCTGTACTGCGGTCTATAGAAGTGTCGACGAAAAACGACACATATATGTTATATTCTGCCACCCAGCTATCAACTGGATGAAGACACGTATTTACTTTTAATATTGATAATAGTGAGCTTCAGCCGTCAGGCCTCTTCAGTAGTTTAAAGAAGCACTTGAAAAGAATTTACTCTCGGCCCCTTCCTTTTCTCATTTCGTTCGACCTCAGGACTCCTTCGACTTTGATAGCCGCGAGAGAGAAAGAGAGATTGGGGTTTAACTTACGCCAACTCCTCGACAATGTTTGTTAACGGTATATTTAAACAACAAAACGGGAACACAGAGAGAGAGATCCTGTTGACGTCAAAGCCTGGTAACACAATTAATAAGCACACAAAAATTTACACACTGCAAATTTACACTTATAAGGGTGTTTATTAATTGTTCTGCATGGCTTCCCTTAGTCCTGTATTTATCGACACATATCGTTACAACTCTAAGTGAGAGATCAAAAACCTTATTAAAATATTACAAAAAGAAAAACATAATTTGAAAGCATTTCAAGTAAGAGCTCAGTCAACGGTATAAAAGCTCAACTTCAAGTTCAAAACAGTGAATATGAATTCCAAAATAACTGACTAGGTGATAATTAAATAACACTATAGCATCCCTGTTCACTATGACAACGAAGGTTCAAACTAGCTAGACTAAGTCTGTCTCAAAATGGTTTTACAGTATGCTCAAAATGGCGCCTTGAAACCTTCTTCCTACATTTCGGGTAACAAGCCGTTTCTCTGTTCAACTTTCCAGTTTAGCCAGTTTGGGGCAAGATGCTCCTGGCGCCACTTTGTTAGACACACAGTAGGCAAAAGGATCCGCGTCAATGTACACGTCATCAACGGGAGCTGTGGTTCCAGGCTCTAGCGGTTGGAATTCGAAATGCTTCGAGAAACGGGATGCCCTGAGGACACCTGCTACTTCAGTAGAAACAGCCTTGGTTGTCCTCTACAACATAAATGACTTACAGATCAAAGAAAATGTATTTAGTTTTCCATTTAAATCGTGGATTGACGACTTAAAAGGGGAAAGATCGTCAAAGCTATGAATCAAAGCCCGAAAAACTCTCTAATTTGTTAATAGGTAGGTACTGGATTAAATTCCATGGCCCTTGAGATAGATTCCCGCTTTGTAATGGACCGAGTTATGTACGTGGAGCTCGTCTTACTTTAACAACTATTAAGTTGTACATAGAAAGGCAACGATCCAACTATATATTACACCAGTTGTTAACACACTGACTGTTTTGGGCGCAACTTTCTTTTATGTATTTATCCATCACGGGAACATTACGAAATCTCACAATGATTAGCTCCTTGTTGGCTTGAAAGCTCAATCTATCGGGGTACTAAGCGTGTGTTACAATTCCATGAGTTATAATCTCGCTCAGTTCGGAATTTTTCATTTATCATGGGTAGTGTTTATAGATACAGATAATTTTCTTCTGTAAAAATTTCAGTAGCAATGTTAATTGCAACAGGAGCTAGTATTTTTACCAGCTAAGACTCAATAAAGAAAAATTAACATACCGTAAAGGTGTTATGAACACTCAACTTGAGTTCGTTTGGGTTGTCCTCTATAGTTCCTTGGAAAAAGAAGTGTTTGATGCAAAAGCAAACTAAGTTCTTGATTTAGCTCGTGTATGGGCGCTAATGCTGTTAAGTTTATGTTACTTAAGTTCACAACACCTTACGGTGATTCCTTAGTATTGCACTGCGCATCATGTACTGCGCATAAAAATCATGCAATCAGGCGAATAAGCGCGCGTGCATTTCGAGAACACGGTATTGTGTTTTAAATCAATGGACCAAGTAAAGAAGTACGACGGTCTTTAGCTCTTAAACGAGCACGTTGACCTATATTTTATATTCCATAATTCTGGTTTTACAAATCATCCTTTAACTTGGAGAAATAAAGAAAAAGTTCATCTGTGGGGAAAAACAAAAAACAGCTAAAAGCATTCACGAAGTCCGTTACTCGATGATGCAAATTATAACCTTGAAAGCAACGACTCGATGAACGTTTTAGGTCGATGTCGTTTAAAATCGAGTGACTTTTCCACAAATTATATATCCAATTTTTTCAAAAGCTCAAGACTTTCTACTCATCAAGTTTTTTTTAACTGTTATTTTAAAAACCCTTGCTCCCAGCTACCGCAAAATGTACTCTGAACCGATAAAATATCGCGTGTGATTATTGCCAGCACAGGCAAAAATGCGGCAACTTTGGCCCGTCATATCTCTCAAACAAGCAGGATGACCTATCTTTTTTAATGTGTTTTTTGAAACAGACATTGGTAGGGAACATTTAAGGAAAATTTGAAAAAAAATTGTTCGATAATTCTTTTTCTGAGGATATCTTAATTAATGCATTTGTTTCATTTCAAAGTGAAGAGCAAAATAATTTTGCCACAACCAAAATTGGTTGAAGTGTCAAAGCAGTTGTCGTGTTTGTCACTGGAATCTTTTGTTTTACCCTCTCTTATCACTATGAAGATGGTTATGCTTATACTTGAGTTACTAGTGCATACGCACCAAATAGGAGCCGATAAATAGGGGCTTGCCAAACCTTACGGGGGATTAGGCCAAAAGAAACAGACTAGGAACCTTGAGGCGAGAAGAAAGATTTTTTGTTGTTTAACTTTTTCAAGCTACTTTTCGTCCCCTTTACTGCGCCTCCCCTTAGGCGTTTTGATGCTCTTAGGTTCACTGTTTGACATACCTTTGTATGTTACTCTAGAAGCAACTGTCTCACTGCTGTTAAGGACCTTGAACAAGCGATAAGTGGCCGCCACAAACTGTGCATTACCTACGATTGAAAAAAAAGCACTAACGTACAATTTTTAGTCGTTACGTATTTAAACAGTTTTACGACGCAATTTAAACACCTACCAAGAGGTTGTCTAAGATGTGGTTCAACCACAAAAGGTCTGGCAGTAACCAAATATGGCCCTGAGAAACCAACTTCCTTGCACAGCTTAATCAACTCCTTCCAGTGAAGAGCTCCTCCAACACCTTCACCTTAGGATACAACACGTCTCAGATATCAAACAAGTAACAAGGAATGGTAAAATAACCGGTAGACGAGAAGAGTTCTTATTTTTAAAACCGAACTCGCGTCACTTCAAGTAAATTTGATAAACATTGCTACTTTTTTCGTGTATACAAACAGACTTTTTTTTCAAATAATAATCAATTTTCAAATATCCTGGATTGGAGGGGTTTGATCCTAAAAAGATGTAACGCTGACTTCTATCTTGTGGAGTTGATCGAATTCACTCTTCACAAAAAGAGCTTGTAAAAGGCTCTTTTCTTCCTAGAGGCACCCAAGGATCCTTGGTCCTAAGGATGTTAAACCTCATAATTATTACCTAATTTTCGATATCCAAGTTCTGTTCTCCAAATGAGGTATGCAGATAGAGAAGCCACATAAAATCGAAGTCATTTGTTTGTGCACCCGTATCTCGCAATAATGATGAAGTTAAACTTTTTTTATATATAGAATATTGATGTATAAATATATCAGACTAATACCACATGTTATACAAACAGAAAATACCAAACAAAAGTAAATCACTTACCCCAAAGCACTTCGTCTCTTCTGACTTCCTCAGGCAGTTTTGTATCGGTGTAAACATCACTGAAGTATACCTCGCCTCCATCCTACAACAGATAACGTCATAAGACTTTAGTGATATTGATAGTCCTAAACAGATTCACCACACTGAACACACAACAAATTAACTTGAAAACAGCATTGTCTCACCTTAAGAACTCTGTAAGCTTCTTTAAGAACAACTCTCTTGTCTGCAGTTAGGTTTACAACACAGTTTGAACTTAGCGTAGAGACGATGAACAAGAAAGTTAGATACGTCTAGCTGTCATGGAAAATTTATTTTTTACTTTACCTTATTTCATTGCCAATTTGTTACATACTTCTAGAGAGGCATCTCCACTTGGATCCACTGGGCGTGATAAAATTTATATGTATTTAATACACCTTTTCCTTCAGACTGTTTCTTGGATTTACTTACATTATTATGTCCATAGTCCTGTCCTGTATTCCTACATCAGACAGTCTCTCCATTTCACCAAGTTTAAAATCAGTGTTTGGCTTAGAATATCCAAACTGGTGAGCATGGTATTCTACGTACTTGTTGGCAATGTCCACCTAGGTGTGAGGCAATGATTTATGGTTGTTCAATCTCCTGATGTGTTTGTACAGATAAGCCACTGTACCTTACTATATTCCATGCAGACTCTGATGCAATATACAAAATTCACTAAGAATTTTGGTAAATTCGGGAACAAGGAGCATTGGAAAAAGAAAACACGGATCCCCCTGCCCCCTTCCCTTATAGCTGTCGATTACACTAAACAATAATTTCAAATATCATGTGGGCTCTGATTTAAGTGATGATTTTTGAAAAAAAATTGATCATATGGTTTAGGGCGGATCCTCACAGTTCCTAGCCTTAAATTTTCATCATATCTAAAGGGTTATAAAGAACCAGCTACTGATCCAATTGGTTTGCAGGTATGCAGGCAATGTGGTCGAAAATGGGAGACTAAGAACAACTCTAAGTTGATTAAATTGATGGAAGAGATAAAACAGATGAATAAATTAAATTCAAACGAAATACAAACTTATTCCACAAGTAACCTTTGTTGGTGCTGTTCTTGCCCTCCTCCGCTCAGTGACCGGTTTTGATAATTTACGCCACCCCCTCTCGAGCAATCAACCAAAATATGGACATTAAATTCGACTTGCAAATTCCTATCCTTCCGCTCTCTCTATAACGTGTTACTTCGAGTTCTTATTGTCTGCTTATGATTTTTTACCGCTGTCGTTATCATTGTTCTAATGCGGCTTTTTTAACCACATACTAAGTTTTTGGTCGGAAAACGCTCAGTCGAAATGCACACTATAAAGAACTACTTAAATACCTGTTCTTTGGTCATGTCTACTCCAGTAACATGGCCGTGTTCACCAACCAGTTTACTGAGTACAAAACAATCTTGTCCCGATCCACTTCCAAGATCCAGGATATACAAGCCGTCAATTGCCTCTGGGGCCACTAAACCGCACCCATAAAACCTGATATTAAACAAGTTTAAAGATGATGATTTTAGATATATGAAAATTTATATATTTGCACTGCGGTGGAGAAATGAAATAAAGAGATCCTAGCAGCTAAGAACACTACTGAAACGAGTAGTTGTAAATTGGACCTGAGTTCAAATCCCGTACGGGCCTGAATTTTTTTCAGGTCCAATTTACAACTACTCGTTTCAGTAGTGTTCTTAGCTGCGAGGATCTCTTAATTTCAAGTTTAAAGATCTTCAGCGCTTTATTTGCTAACATTTAGCAGTTTGTTTAGGTAAACAGAGTTAGCTTCTTGTAAATCGCAAGCATCTGCTTTGTGTTAGTGTATCGTGTTAAAAGATTTAGCGAAACACAACCCAAGTAGTCTTAACACTCAAATCTTGAAACGTCACTTCGCTGTAAATTTTTCGTCATACAATCAACTACTTTATCTTTTCGCCTATCGACGCAAGAAACTCCTTCTTAAAAATCTGTTATCTTCAAACTTGTTAGTGATTTGACCACTTGAGCTTGGTCGTTTATCGTCACAAGCTTTTAAGTATGATAATTCGCAAAGACAATGGGGTCGAGTGAAACTCAGTGGAAAGTGTCCTGGCGGGATCCGTATTCACTTTGATATCCAATATGATTTATTTTTCAATCTCCTTCTCGCCTTATCTAACCCTACTGACTCAATACTCTCGCAAGGTACCTCACATTTCCCCAAAATTTTGCGTCAATCAAAGCCGGAACTGATTATCATATTGCAATTAAGAGATTCGCTTGGGCAACTCAGCGGCGACGCAAATAAGAGTAAACTGTATTGCTACCACTTTCCAACATACAAGCATTCGTTGTACAATTTCAGGCTTCATCGTAGATAAACAAATAAATATAGGGAGCAAGTTTCTAAAGAAACTGTGGTGTTGCGTTAGTGGGGGAATATAACAAGATAATCCGGTTCTATCAACTGAGTTGATAATGTAAATTGTCCACTGTAAAGTAAATACTGTCAAGGTTAGCCCTTCGAAAGAGCGAATGGAGAAACTGTGGTTTGTAGATAGGTATCAAGAAAGCTCTGGCTTTAGATGGCTACCTGGAAAACTCTACATGCTCTACTATCTAATCCCAGGGTCTATGGAAGCCATCTGCCTGATTAACATCAGCGACGAATGAACGCAACCGTAGCAAGTTAACGCAAACTCCGTGAATAAAGGTCAACGTGAACTTTAATGTGGTTTTCCACTAAGGCTTAGTTTTAGCTTAGCTTCAGGCTTCATCGTAGATAAACAAATAAATATAGGGAGCAAGTTTCTAAAGAAACTGTGGTGTTGCGTTAGTGGGGGAATATAACAAGATAATCCGGTTCTATCAACTGAGTTGATAATGTAAATTGTCCACTGTAAAGTAAATACTGTCAAGGTTAGCCCTTCGAAAGAGCGAATGGAGAAACTGTGGTTTGTAGATAGGTATCAAGAAAGCTCTGGCTGTAGATGGCTACCTGGAAAACTCTACATGCTCTACTATCTAATCCCAGGATCTATGGAAGCCATCTGCCTGATTAACATCAGCGACGAATGAACGCAACCGTAGCAAGTTAACGCACACTCTGTGAATAAAGGTCAACGTGAACTTTAATGTGGTTTTCCACTAAGGCTGTAAATGCTCTAAAATTAATCAGGTATTTCATTAATTTCAGCCGGAACCCAGGTTGATAATCTCTCTCTTGGCAAAACACTGCCGCGGTCATAATCCGAAGGGCGTTTTGGTAACTTAAAGAAAGAAGCTAGTCGCTGCAAATAAATCGAGCGATGTGAGAGTAGTGGTTGGTAGTATGACGTTATATATAAGAAATACGTCAGTCTATTTTTCAGAAATGCATAGCTAACCATTCGGAATTCACACATAACAAAAAGCTTCCCACAGAATATTACAGTTGACATTCGAATTTCATCATAACTTTAACTGATGCTCGACTACATTCCAAAAAGCAATGTCGTCGTAAAGATGAGAATTGTATTTATCCTATAACACCATCAGAGTTCTTAATACTCAAACTAGACTAACCTACAAAGTTACACAACTCTGTGATTCTCTTACTTGCTCGATACCTCCTCATGGACAAGTTTCAAAGCGTTCTCCACGGCGTCTGACATTTGTTTTCCACCTAGTTTACAGGCATTCGACTGAAGATCATCGGAAGACTTGAGGGTTTTGCCATAGTAGACCTTTACACTTTCCTTAACCTTATCTACACCTTCAGAGCTCATTTCTGGCAGAACTTTTTCACGTGAGAGAAAGACCTCTTCAAGGTATTATGCTCACGAACAAAGTTAAAAGGGTCAAGGTTCGAGAATTTTTCAAAGGCTCACACGGCTGTAATTTTCCTTCTAAAACATAGCATTGCGCAATATCTTCTGCGCACACGCAGGCGCAAAGAGCGCACAAACTTACCTGTGAAAGATGACCCATTGAGGAGAAAAAAATGGCCGCTGCATGAGTCCCGTAACCCACCCTGTTTTGCATAATACCATGAATATCGAGTCCTTCTCTCTGTGTTGTGAGACTTTGCAAAAACTAAAATGTTGGAAAAATGTGGAATGCAAAAAACTATCCGATCACTAATAGCCATAAAATTGTGTCGACCCCACTCACGAGGACGATCTGCGGTCGTTAGCTTTCCAAGACATGTGCCTGTGAGAACGAAGTAAAGTTCACTCGTTCATTTTGATCTCTGCAACAAATCTACGTTTCCAATGCTTCCGGTTCCAGCCAATAATCACCGTGAAACTTTCTCGCGGGCGAAAAAACACCACTGCTGCAACGCTACATAATAAACCCAAATAAATTATAACTTTAATGGTTACGTTTATTACGACTTCGGTTGTCACAGTTATTATAAAGAAAGAGTATAATGGCATTTCATTTTAATTATTGTCCCCAAGATATTTAGAACCCCGTCTCCAGTTTTCCTCGAATACTGAAAACCACGTTTAACAGCAGCGAGCCTCATTACCGGTTTTCGCACGTTTCGGGCAACAGCCGTTTTCCTGCTCAACAGGTTTGGCAGGTTTGGGGCAACATGCTCCTGGCGCCACTTTGTTTGACGCACAATACGCAAACGGATCCGCTTCGATGTACACGTCATCAATGGGAGCTGTGGTTCCAGGCTCTAGCGGTTGGAATTCGAAATGCTTCGAAAAACGTGAGGCACTAAGGACACTTGCCACATCAGAGGAAACATCCTTAGGTGTTTTCTGCAAATCAAATGAGCCGCAATAATGGAAATCACATAATGGCCTCTTTTTACTTGGTTAAAGAAAACGATAATTTTCTTAGTTGGGCACGAGTGGATATTCGGGAAACCAATTCCGTGTTTTAAAACAAAGACTCGGATCCCTGGATCAGGACTTGAGATGTTATACTCCTGAGCTTTGAGAGACTCGTCCGTTATGGTTCTTACCTTTTCACTATAAAACATTTTCTCGGGAGAGGGAAGCTCTAACTGCCAAGGTGCGACAACATCACTAAGGTAGGAGTCGTAATGGGTCATTGGTAGACCAAGTTTTTTTAACATAACGTTGTGTCCTTTTTTTCAGGTAAATCCGACCAAGAAAAGAAAAATTTTTTGCTTGCCTTAACTCTCTCAGAAATTTTATTTAGAGCTCATGGCATTAACTTTAGATTGCAAAAACGCAATTTAAACCATTAATTTTTCAAAAACTGAGTAGCAAGAAAATTTTTGGTAAAAATGTGCCCTTGTTGTAAATACAAAGTCGTACTCCACCAAGAAACAAGGATTCCCCTTGAATTCAGAGACAGAGTTTCCGTGGAACGCATCAAAAAGGCCATAGAATGGACCGCTGCCGAAAGCACGCGGGATTCTTTCCTGATTATGCCTGTCTGTGACTGGAAACATCATATTACATTTCCTGGGTAATCATTTTTCGTGTTCGAATGTAGAGAAAAAGGGAACTCAGTTTAAAGAAGTGAACATACCGTCAATATGTTGTGAACATTAAACTTGAACTCTTCTGGGCTTTCCTCAATAGTGCCTGAAAAAAAAGAAAATCGTAACAAACTCATTACCGGTATGTGGGTAGAGCACTTTTTTAAGTAGTAACTACCTCATAGCTCACAGCTTCCACATACATTTGTTTCTCTCTAAAGCCGCCGCGGGTGCAGCGATCACCATACGACAAATATTGATTTATACGACTTTTGCACGATAACCACAGGTTTCGCCCTACAGGAATTTGAACCCACCACCACAATCTCACTCGCAAACAACTACTTCAGCTTACCATCGAACTTCAAACTACCTTTAGGTCCTTTTATTTTGGCTGCGCAGTATTGCAGTATTTCTTTCTCGTCTCAAGCACTTCGTTGTTGGTCTAAACATTCTTGGAGCCAGATTAATCCCCCACGAGCAAAGTCAGTGCGTGACCATTTCGAAACCAGTTGTTTCTTTGATTTTAAAATTCAGACGTATTTTAAACACTTCCAAACATTTTATATTACTCAGACTTGAAACGATAAGAATTGTGATGGAAAGAACTATTGATTTGTAGCACTAGGCTAGTTGAAATTTCCTTCTTTGTTTCATCCCTTTGTCCGACCACGTCTACGACATTCTAACCCGCTCTATGCTCTCTTTACCTTTGTACGTCACTCTGGATGCTTCTGTCTTACAGCTTTCAGGAACTTTGAACAAACGATAGGTGGCTGAGACAAACTGAGCATCACCTATATTGGAAGAAAAAGAAGAAAAAAAAACCCATGATGTTTCAGGTAATACCTGTCAGGTAAGTTACTCTTCTGTGTAAGTCGGCTTATTTACTAGTTAGGTCAGACAACAGTAATGAATTGTTTGCTTAAGCAGAGAAAGCCTGCTCTTTGATGGCTCAATATCAGTAAAGATATCAATTTTGAAAAAAAAGCACTCACCTAGTGGTTTTCTGAGGTGTTCTTCAACCACAAAAGGTCTCGCAGTTACCAAATGTGGCCCAGAGAATCCTACTTCTTTGCTCAGTTCGACCAGCTCTTTCCAGTGTAACGCCCCTGAAACACATTCACCTAACGGCACAAAAAAGATAGATGGAGTAACTGGCTTAACATAGCAAATTGTCACGTAAGACTTCTAACCATTAACAGTCACACAGGGAAAAATGTTCCAACGTTTTCATGTTTAAAAAATTCTTTAACAGAGCATTATATATTCAAAATCGTGTACTTGGGATTTGCAGTAGCTCCATTAATTTCATACTATTTTTTCAAAAGAAAAGTCACAACCTCTTGCTTATTTTCTGCTCAATGGCACCCTTACAGAATGGGTACATGGGAGAGTCCCTAACTAAATAACTGACAGTATATTCTTGTGAAAGGTGCTTCAATTTATTTCTCATCCTTATTTCTCATACCCAATATGAAGATCCCAACCTCCATGCACTTAATACCTCCCGCTCTTCAACGTCGTCACTTAAAACAATAATAATAATATGCAGATAAAACAGAAAAGTAACATTAAGGTTGTCTCCAAAAGCCCCACATGCTTTTTGCAATGAATAGATGGTGAGAAATTTCCTCTCTACTGCAAGAAAGAAATGGATTTCAACTTCATGCAACAGTATGAATAGAAAGGACTAAACAAAGATAAGCCACTTACCCCAAAGTACTTCGTCTTTTCTGGCTTCCTCAGATAGTTTTGTATCAGTGTAAACATCACTGAAGTAAACCTCCCCTCCATCCTAAACAGATCACATGAGACCTCAGCATCAGTAATCTTCATCAACATCTTCGATACATAAAACACCAACCCTTTGACCCTTAAGATTGACCAGCCTCTAATTTCTCCTTACAATTATGGGATCAATATCAGTATCTGGGCAACTGCCCACCTACCCCTCCCCTAACTCAACAACAGTCAATTGATAACAAGTTAGGGTTAATGTTAGGTTAGGGGAGGGGTAGGTGGGCAGTTGCCCAGATACTGATATTGATCCCAATTATGAATCTCTCTACTGTTAGACAACTCTTTCTAGTCAGCACCATGGCAAGTGTATAGAGAATGGTAAGGAGAATACTGATAATGATAATAGGGTATGAAAAGTTAACTTGTTTAGAGCATTGTCTCACCTTAAGAACTCTGTAAGCTTCTTTGAGAACAACACTCTTGTCTGCTGTTAAGTTTACAACACAGTTTGAACTTCAGATGAGAAAAGTAAAATGAGAATGTCAGATGAGCATAGTGGCTATTGAGTCATCAAAGTTCTTTTTCAAGTCTTCACCCAGATTATGTTTTCATATTACATGTGATTTTCATTATGGAAACTCTTTTAAATTCTCTTTTTTTAGGTTTTAACTTCCAAGCATTTGTATGTGACAAGAAATCCAAAAAACAAGTTGTTATTATTGTACATGATTTTTCTATACTGAATACTCAAATGTCATGTCACGGATATTTTTTTCTTACATAATAATATCCAGAGAGCTGTCCTGTATTCCTACATCAGATAGGTGCTCCATCTCACCAAGTTTAAAATCAGTGTTTGGTTTAGAATATCCAAATTGATCAGCATGATATTTGATGTACTTGTTGGCAACATCCACCTAAATACAAGGGATAACATGAATGGAATTCTACTGATGTATTCATACAGATTTGACACTAGGTGCAGCCAACATGTAAGTTGATATCCAGAATTTGAAGCAATCTGGAATATGCATGGCAAACCTTGGCTAATACTGTAATGAAGAGCATGCAAGATACATGTAGACAAATCTAACCCCTCAGCAACAGACAAACATGTTACAGCATATAATTTGTAATACATCATAAAATCAAAAGATATTGATGTGTGAAATACAATAGCAGTTTTCCAATACAGTGCAGATTGAAACCACATGAACATCCTCCCGTATTTCCCTCAATCACTGCACAGGCATGACCCCGTTTTGCCTGTGTTATGAACGAACAAAACACAGATGCAACCAGGATGAAACCTATGACGAATGAGCAATTCAGCAAAATAGGTGCATGGTGAGTGTGCAGACTATAAACCCATGAGTCCTGTAGGTTGGGCTCCATTCAAAAACAGCTGTAAGTGTTTTCGTGTACCATCAGAGCTGTCTTAAGTGCATTCAAACATCCATCGTGCAAACTACATGTAAGCCTACCAATAGCTCTAATTCTAGAGATAATGATTCTCACAAATTTATGACTTGAATTTGTTTCCTCTCCTTTTAATCATCTTTCATAATGATAATAAAAACCCACAAAATGCAACAATTAAATGAATAAAGATTTAATATGTACTTTTACTCTTTCAAAATGTTTCACTCTCCATCTTTAAAATATGAAGAAAGGATTTCTGTTCAAACTCTGAAGAACAGGTCTAAATGAACAGCTTATCTGCCAATGCAGCTTATCTGCAAGTGTGGCTTATTTGTTCTCAAAGGCTGTTGTAAAACATTGGTTTTGGTTGTACAGTATAGTGCATGTATAAGAACCTAAATTTAACATGGTTGAAAGTAAGTCAAGTTAGTTGGATCACACATAATGAAGATGAGGCAGGCACGTAAAATTCTCAAGTAAAATAAATCTAAATGCAACCCAAATTTTTCTGAGTTTCTTTTGGTGCTCCTGGCTAGCACCCAAAAATAGTGAGTGTGGACCATTATCAGGTACCTTGGTAG